TTTTTCATATCTCACAATCACTCATAATTCAAATAAAACAACAACAAAGAAAGTAATAATCAAATATATAGCAAAATAAAAAATCAACTGAACACAAAAATAATAAACATAAAAAATATACACAATAATGAAATTAATTAAAAAATATCAAAATAAACAATCAATAATAAAGTATAAACAACGAATAAACAAAACTCCAAACGAAAAAAGGTAAATAAAATGAACACAACAATTTACATAATCAATTAAAAAATAACTAAATCCAATAAAGAAACATATAGATAAACATTAAATTAAAACATACAACATAAATAAATCAATACAGCAAACACTCTTCATCTAACTACAAAAGAAAAATAAAAACAAATGAAGAAAAATACAAACATAACTGCAATACTAAACATAACAAAACAAAATGAAAAGCACAAATTTATTTTCTTATATAATAACATAACAATCATAAAATAATGATAATCATCATAAAATGAAAAGAAAAAATAAAAAACAGAATCACAAAGTTATCTGTGCAAATATAACAACATGGTCTACCTACAAAATAAAAAAAGAAAATATAATTAATTTCAAAGGATAAAAAATCGATTGTAAAACAGGAAAAAAAAGCTTAAAGAAAAAAGAATCCATCATATTAAAAATCAAGTAGCTTTCATAAAAATAACTTTAAAATTCTTTCATATATGTTTCTTATTTCATGGATTTTTTTGCAACTGTTTAATTATATTAATCCAGAATGTTACTAAATAAATACCCATATAAACAACACAAAAACTAAAAAACTAAAAAAATCTAACAAATTATCTGACATGATAAATAAATTAAATTTAAAAAATAAAATAAAATAAAATATTTAATATTGATTGCTATGAGTAAATGCATAACAAACAATCAAAATCAAATCATTAATGCTCAAATTAATTTGAGAGTATTAATGAAGCTAACAAACAAATAAAAAAAAATAAAATGTACATACCTAGTAAACCAACTCGAATAACAACTTGAACAATGGAGTAAAATGAGGATTAAAAAAATACAGCAAAAAAACACCTTCCTACAATGACTACAAAGAAAATAAAAACACTCGACAGAAAGAAGAAGAAACAAAAATTAAAAGAAGTAGGTAATAAAGTATCAATTACCTTATGGTATAAGACATTAAGTACAATATGAATTATGGTAAAAAAAAATTGTCTAAAAAAATAACTTCAAAATAATTATAAAAAAAGTATGCAAATCATACCAACACTGATATATTTTTAAATTACAAATACATAAAAGATAACAAAAGCTAGTAAGCACAAATAAACAATCCATTGAATCACCCAATATCTTGTGAAGAAACAAACAAGTGACAAATAACAGAATCACATAAAATAAAAGCCATAAATATCAATGATAACAAAGTCATGTCAAAATAAAAAAATATGTAATAACCCAACAAACCAAGGAAAAAATAAAAGGCACAAATAACAAATAACCCAAAAAAATAAAAAAAACGAAATGAATTAAAGAAAACATTCGTGAAAAAACCCATTAAAAATGACACTTTCAATTAAAATAACATGGGAGAACCAAAATCAAAGAATAATTATATCAAGAAACAATAAATTCAAAAGAAAAAAAAAACAAAAAAAGGAAAACCAAGGAAGGAGAAAGTAAAGCAAAAAATAAAAAATAAAAAAATATAGCAAAACTTTTAACACACGATAATACCAAAGAAATGTCATGTTTTAATTCTAAGCACCATGTTTACAATTCAAGAAACGTTTTATTTATTCTTTGAACAACACGTTTTTAATATAGAAAATGGAGTAAAAACAAATCCTATATTTAACTTTTTTTATTCATTATCAATCATGTTTAGGAAAAATCACATAATCTCGAATAATCATCAAAGACATATTTGGATTAATAAATGAGGTGTTTGTAACCAAACACTATAAGTTTTGAGTATCATAAATAATTTTTTAAATTAAATCAATTACTATATTACCGACATTATAAACATGGTTGATATGAAAAATTATATAATAAGAGAATATCATGTAACAAATCAAGCTCAGCAAAGTATAAGTCAAATGATCCAATACGTTAAAAGAACAAAAACATAATTTTTTTTAATAAAAAAGAATTAAATAAACATAGAATTACTATAACCCACCATATTTCTTTTTAAATGACTATTCAAAAGGCTATGGATGCAACTTTATCAATATAAATTTATCATCTAAACCTTCCACAAACCCCTATTTTATTCTTACTTCAGTTGAATTAAGGAATAACCATCCTTTCTTTTTTTTAAATTTAAAAAAAAAACCCAATAGAAAGAAAAAAAATGACATTCATGAAACAAACACGTGGCACTTAAGAAAAAAAAAACAAAAAGTAAAAAAGAAAAGAGACCTATAAAACAATCACATGGCACACCTATGAAGAGTCCCCTACTCTGAATAATTGCGAAATTGATATTATTCTAACAACTACATTATTTATTAAAAGAATGTGATATTTTTTTTAAACATTACATTTCTAACATAAGGAACAAAGTATAAAAAATTCTTACATACCTTTTATTCATTATCAACCACACTTGGAAAAAAAAAGATATAATCTTGAAAAAATTATTAAAGACATTTTCGAATTAATAAACATAAATTTCTTATCCTAAAAGCTACAATTTTAAATATCACAAACATTTTTTTAAAATTTCAGTAATCACCATTATAAACGTGGTTAATATAACTATAACGTGGCAAATAAAACTCAACATAATATGGATCAATGATCTATCACAATTCAAAAACACAAATAGAGTTTTTTTTTATAAAAAAATAATTAAAAAATTAAATTGCAATCATCTATAATGTTTGTCCCCAAATCAATGTTCAAATGGGTACCGGTATAATTTTATTAATACAAAATATATCTTATCAATTAATTTACCATCTAACTTTCCACCAACCTCTATCTCATTCTTACTTAAGTTAAATCAAGGAACAATTACACTTATAGTTTTGTCAGATACTTTAAGAAAATAAAAAACATAAAAAAAAGCAAAAAATTAAGGAAAACCAATCAACAACCACATGGAAGACCTAAAGAAAAATAGAAAAAAAAATAAAAAGTGAAAACTTAAAGGAGAACTAAGAAACATCCATGTAGTACCCCCAATGAAGAGTTTTGTAAACTACACTGTAATGACAACATTTATTATTATAAAAATGTGATATTTAATCTTTAAATAAAACATTTCTAACATAGGGAACGGAATAAAAAAAAATTCTTATATCTAACATTTTAGTCATTATCAACCACATTCAGAAAGAAAAAAAAATGGTCTCAAATAAATTATCAAAGACGTTCTCGAATTAATAAACATGAATTTTGTACCTTCAATGCTACACTTTTAACCGTCATAAATATATATTTTTTAAATTCCACTAATTACCAAGTTACCCAAATCATAAACGCAATTGATATAAATTACAACATAACAAATCAAACTAAATGCAATATGGATCAAATGATCAATCACGTTTTAAAGAACAAAAATGTAATGTTTTTTTTATAAATAAAGAATAAAAAATATTAAATTACAAGTATCTACAACGTTTGTCCCCATATCAATTAAACGTTATTGTGTACAAGTTTATCAATATAAAATTTATCTTATCAATAAATTTACCACCTAAATCTTCTACCTTTCTTTCATTCTGACTTAAGTTAAATCAAGGATCAATTACCATTATCTATTTCTTTAATATTTTTATAAAATAAAAAATTATTGAAAGAGCAAAAAATTAAGGAAAATAAAGAAACAATCACGTAGAACCCCAATGAAGAATAAAAAAAAAGCCAAAAAAATAAAACCTCAAGGATAATCAAGAAACAGTCATATGGCACCCCCAATGAAAAGTTTTGTTCTTCGTACATTTACAAAATTTATCTTATGGATTCTTGAAATAACTTCAGTTTAAGTTATATGATAAAATTTTATAAAATTCAAGTTTTATTTGCATGATTGGAATGACAAAGATGGTATAAAAATACTTAAAAAAGAGATGTAAAACGGCACTTGAGATCAAAGAAAAGGAAATGTGATCGTTGTAGACTTGATAATGGAAAACCAATAATTGGATGAAGAGTCTTTCGAAACAAAACTATTTTTTTTTACATGGAGATGATGGTTTTGTTTGAAAGGTCAAGAAAGAAACAAACAAGAATTGGAGTAAGTTCTTTGTTGGTGATGGGTTTAGGTTTAGCAACTATATAGCGTATATTATATCTTAGGACTAAGGTCTCTCATTGAGTTATTTTCTTTATAATTAACTAAACTCTTGCAAGTGATTTGTACTACTAAATAATAATTACATTGTAAGACACATTGTGGAGTTTCACCATTGGGACTAACAAGGCAATTTAATATTGGCTTTGCCTTATTTACTTCTAGTATGATTAATATATTGTAAGTATTTTTTTAAATTCAAGTTCGTAACTTAATTTTATTAGTTTATGTACTTATTATAATTTAACAATTTTTTATTTAAATTTAAATTTTTATAATTTTTTATCTTTAAATTATGACACTATTTTTAAAAAGGAAAATCATATTTTTATTAATTTTATTGAATTTTGGGTGGTTTATCCTTGGCCAAACATAAAATTACACCACTAAAAAACTTAGATGAGGTAAATTTTCAAATTGGAGGAAAAAAGTTTTCAAGAGAACATATTTCGATAGTATAAAATTTTAATACGATTAATCTATAATATTATATTGAAACAAGGCTCATTTGGTTTGAATTTGATTAGGTTTGTAATGTATTATGTTCAAATATTACAGTCTCCCGAAAAAATTGGGTCGAGATTTGGGAATGGAGCATTTATATTGGGCTTCTGTCCAAAACATAGCCAGACCCAACAGTACACAGCCCACAAGGTAAATTAGTCACTCGAACAGTCGAACTCACATCAGACAACTTAATCCTCCACCGACTTTGTTCGGCACAGGCAAGCAATTTGAGCAAGAAAGCCAAAGGGCTGGCCGTAAAGGACCCTTTATCCAGGGTTTAAGTTTTAAGCACTCAAAATTTTCAGACACAAATCTAGACCTAAGCAATCCCAGCTTCATCTATTTACAAATACACATAAACCAATGGCTGTATCATTCTCTAACCACTCTCTGTTGGCTCCTCTCTTTCTAGTTTCCTTTTCTTCTTTAAAACCCTCAAAAGACACCAAACTACCATTGGTATCCCTCCATTCTCTCTGTCAAAAGCCTCGTTTTCCAAAACCCATTTCTGGGTTTTCTCCATCTAACATTTCCTTCCCTTTGAACATCAACAAGAATCCCAGAAGGCCTATTTTCAAGGCTTTTCTTTCAGCCCAAGAATCTGCTCACACTGTAAGTTTTTTTTTTGAATTATTATTGGGTTCTTGAAAAAAAAAAAATTTCATTTGTCTATTGCAGTTGGCCTATGATTGAAGGTGTTCTTGCTGTTGCATTCGAACGAAAGAAGTTTTACTGAATTTCCCACTTTTAATTATCATCATAGATTCATAGCAGATGAAAATTTGCTGAAGATGGTAATTTGAATTGATAACAAATACTTATTATTGTTTAACTGTTTATAGGAGCATTAATTGTATAAAGTACTTTTATCAGGATGATGTAAAAATATCAGGAGGAGAAAATTTACCCAGTTTAGAGGCCATGATTAGAGTTTACAAGGAAGCTCTTCTCAATGGAGATGATAGGATTGTATCTGAGATAGAGAGTAGAATAAGCATTACAGAAAATGAAAAGAATGGGTTGGAGAAGAAAGTGTTTGAATTGTCAGCAGAGATAACCTCCGGGAAAGAGAAGTATATCCGTCTGCAAGCTGATTTTGATAATTTTCGGAAAAGATCAGAGAAGGAGAGACTTACGACAAGGTCTGATGCCCAAGGAGAAGTGATAGAGAATCTTTTGCCCATGGTGGACAGTTTTGAGACAGCCAAGCAACAAATAAAACCAGAAACAGAGAAGGAAAAGAAAATAGATACAAGTTATCAGGGTATATACAAGCAATTTGTGGAGATCATGAGGAATTTGCAAGTGGCTGTTGTATCAACTATTGGAAAGCCTTTTGATCCTTCTGTAAGTTCTTTTTTAGTGTTTAAATGCTATGCTTAATATCTTTTTTTTGGTTGCTAGGCATTTTAGAGTTTTATTTGGTTAGTCACATTGGAAGATATAATGCAAGTGTTGAATATATATACGTGGTTCAGTTAGTTTCCTCTCCGCTTAAGTTTTTGAATAAAGGTTTTTGAGAATAGTACTATAGTATCCAATCTTCCGTCAAGTAAACACTTTGGTTCAATCTGGTTTGAGTTTTGTCTCTGTTTATTTTCTTGGTTTGATCTCAGTTTCAAGCTCCATATGCTAGCCTGATTATCTTTGAGGCTTGGACATGATGGGGTGTGAAGTGAGTAATATCACAAGAGGAAACTATAGTGCAAGTTTGTGCTAGGTACATATGATCGGCTCAAACTTGCTTTTGACCACCAGAGTTGGATGTCATGCAAGTCTAGCATTAAAAGTATGCCTATATAGAATTAAGAGATTGAATCTAAATTAAAGATATTCTAGATCTTGAATGAGAAAATTATGATGCTAGGTGCATATACATACTAGCTATAGTTTTCATGTCTGGATCATCCCATCTAGTTGGCATAAGTTAGTCGTTGGAATACATTCTTGATTTAGGCATATCCCACTCCAGAATATCTGATTGAAGTTCTCCTTAATTTGAGCCCAAAATAGAAATACCATCCAGAAATTGGTTGAACAATAAACTCGTAAGGCATTGGAGTGATAGTCATTAGCAAACAGAGATTACCAATGGATATTCCCTGTTTTTGCTATTGATTCACTTGGTTCCCCCTTGCCTGTTACAGCAACATGAAGCTATAGCCCGTGAGGAGTCCCAAGAGTTCAAGGAAGGAATTATCATCCAAGAAATTCGTCGTGGATTTCTCCTTGGGGATCGGCTTCTCAGACCAGCAATGGTTAAAGTTTCTTCAGGGCCAGGCCGTAAGAAAGCAACTGTCGCCACTGAAAAATCTTCTACGCAACCAGCAACAACTGGAGTGGATGAGCAATGATTTTGTTTCACAAGATCAGTAATCTAAATGGGGATAACTAATATTTTGGCACTCTGACCATCTCATCAGCTTTTGTGAAGGCTTTTGCTGTTGAATTTCCTTCCCTATTTTTGCTTTTGAAATGTAACCCCTTAGGTGTCAAATTCAGTTTTCATGGGCCACATTATGTTACTTTCAGATATTTCTATTTTTGAAAAGGGGGCCAAACACTTGTACAGGTAAGAATATTCACATCAATTGATTTCTTAAAGCAGAATCTCTTGTCTTTTCTTTTGTTGGCATCCGCATGAAATTGGATAGGTTTAAAAGTTCTTTTGATGTTTATTAACCCCTTAGATGAAAAGCCATAATTTCAACATGCAATTCAGCGGGCAGAGGGAGAGGGATGTGAAAATTTGTTTTATCCGAGGTCCTTTAATATGTCCTCAAGTCCTTTAGATGAATAGAATGAGCGAAGATAACAGCATTCCACAGCAGCATCTTCTTGAACTTCAGAGCCAATGAGACTAAGACCCGCCTTATACCCTCCTCGTTCCACAACATTTGACATCTAGAATACATGCCTACAAAGTCAATTGCAAGTAGACTTGGTAATTTTAGATATAATAAAAAAAATAAAAGTGATACATTCTAAAATTGATAAAAGTTTATATGAATTTCATAAAATATATATATTTCGTATTTAACATACTAACACGAATTGTAATATGTTAATTTTTGCATTTTATAAGTGTTTGAAATTAATAAGACTCGATAAAGATACACGAATTGTTAAATTTTAATTGCAGGTTAGATGCCGCACTCAAAAAGCTTACTATTGGTGATAATAGCTATGTAGTTGTCTTCTTAGTCTAGAGAGCTCTCATCTCAGTCAGCAATGCAGGGAGATGCAGACTGAACGCAATCGAGCATGATTCAAGCCCTTCTGCCATCACTTCTGTATCCAATTCTGGTAGCCACTTGCTAATGTGGGCTGCCAAATCACTTATTTTTCACTCACAGGAAAGCTAATTTCAATGACATAAATGTATACTGCCACTATGCTAAAATTGAAGTCATAACTCAATTTCAAATGGCACAAGAGATGGGTAAACTTTTAACAATCATCATATATTTTCAATAACTGAATTCTTTACAACCATTGAATATCTATGAACAAAAGGAAAAAACTACATTCTCCAGTCCTCTTGAATGTCAATTCCTTCATTTACATCAACTATTTGACAACTGAGATCCCTTTCTCGCCCTCTAAAGCATGAAGAAATTGAGAATTTCAATCTTGTGCGACTCTCAGCTGTCTTTTCTGTATTTTTAACTGCCAGCATTGGTTTACAGATCTTTATGGCTGATATCATCTGCAAGAAGGCTCACTCAGATTATGGATGAAAATTGTATTAAAACATTGTGTTCACAAACCAATTCATGCAAAAAGTCGTTTTATCTCTTTCCAATATAAGATAAGCCAAGATTATGACCCACAGAGGTTAGACAAACGCTAGTGCTACCCATAGAGACATACGAAAGAAGAAATGACTAAACTTGATGCCACTTTGACAAATTTAACGATATTTTCTTCCTTTCCTCCTCTAACTTGTAGAAAGAATGCGCATATGAAATCCTAAAACCAACATGAGTAAAACAAACCAATGGAAAAAAGATAAAAAGAAAAACTCTCTAAAGAGAAACCATTGCAAAGGATCACAATTCAAATCATTATACAAGATTCTTTTAACTAACCAACCATGAAGGATCTGTATAAGAAATGTAAAAGAATATTAAACTGACTCTTCCATGCATAAATTAAACAGAGGCTAATGGCCTTTTTTTCCTTTTTGACAAAATTCCTCTCTTAATGCATCCCAACGGTTGCAAAAGGACCAAAATCGGAAATCCCAAACATGGGTCAGGAATGTGCATAGCAATAAACCCCATTTACCAAATTCCAATCTTCTATGGTCTAAAGCCAAAACATGAGCTAATCTTGCCTTGTTTTTTGTATGGAACAGGAAGTCATCCCTTTCACTCTAGACTAAGGGTAGGGGTGTAATCCAGTGGTATTGAGTTGATATACTGTCAAACTCAGATTTGTTATTCAAGTAATTCGAGCTTGACAAGGAACAAGTTGAGCTCCAGTTTTTTCAAGTCCACCCCAAATAGCTGACAAACACGTTTACATCTACTCCAGACTAACCGGAACTAGCTGCGACGGGCCAATGCCACGCCACATGGCGACAAAACTAGTTATCAGTTACCACCGTCTTTGGAATCATATTAAAATTTCTCACAACCTCCAAATTTATGGGTTCACATTGCCTAATGGTGCAACTGATCACATCACTTTCACCTTAATTGACATCACCTAATCAAATTATGTGATTTACTAGATATTAATTAATTAAAACATAAATCTAACTCTAAACAATTCAATCAAACAAAATCTTTTACAAGCTACACAGAAACAAGTCAGAAGTTTCAAATTAAATCCATTGATAGGAGAAAGTGTTAATAGAGATTAACCAGAAGAGAAATAAAAATAAAGAAATTAACTATCGAGGAGTAGAATCATGAGCATTGATGCTGTTATAATATCTGGATAATCGACGAGTCGGCGGCTTTGGTTTAACCGGTTTTTTCCTCAGACCGAAAATTTCTTGAACCAGTGGCACGTGTACCAGAACTAGCTTCCATGCCAACAACCACCCTGAAATTTTATAAATAAATAAAAAAAAAAGAAATAATTATCACCAAACAAAATCCATAAATTACGAATATTGAAAAAAAAAAAGACTGCCAATTTGAGAGAAAAATTACAGAGTACAATGAAGGAGAGGACAAAAAGGATAGCTAGAACCGGACGGAATAATAGAAAATTTAGATAATTGCAATAAGAAAGAAAATTCGAGGGAGTCGACGATGATGAAGACTCCATGGACGACAACAACGGCAGAAGAAGCATCCAATCCACGAACCTGTTCCAGAAAAACGCTTCTGTTTTTATTCTGATTCTGCGATGGGCTTCAATTTGTTGGGCTGCTTAGTCCATACATTAGCTGAAACTTGGAAGCAAAGAAATAAACGAAAAAAAAAACACACACACACACATTTATTTCTTTGGCTAGAGAAAGAAAAAAAATAATAATAATAATAATAATAATAAATTATACGTATCTTTAATGTTTCCACGCTTAAAACATTTTAAAATTTTTTTATGTTCATTAATTTGCCATTTTAATTTTTTTTATTTTTTTTATTTAATTAAAAATGTTAGTTTAACATTATTATAGCAATTTTGATCATAAAACAATATTATTACATTTAAAAAATTGATTAAAAATGCATTTAAAATATACGATTAAAAACTTTAAATGCTTGACATTATTATAAGAAATACTATTAATAATTAGGATATCTAAAAAATATGTAATAATAAAATATGAAAATAATATAGTAATTTTATACAAATATATTTTTTTACTATATTAAATCACTGTTTAGTTTGAATTTAAAAATTAAACTTTAAAACAAAAAAATAATATACTTTATTGTTTAACAATGAGAAACGTCTTTTGAACATGAAAGCTAACTAAAACAAAATAATTAAAAAAAAAACATGGAAACGAAATGGACCGCCATTCCAAGCTGTGAACCAAATTTTAGTCTTGGCAGAAAAGAAAAAACAAGCTTGAACCTAGATGTCATTCAGTCTAGATGAATCAAGAGTTGAGCCGAAGGAAACTTGCTCCGTACGCCGGAACTGATCTATTTCCACCATGTGTTAAAATAACCGGGACAGGGCCGTGGGTCCTACCTGCAATTCCAGGTCAGGAAATCACCCAGGCCCAAAATCTGATCCAGGTTCATTTGCCAAGTCTTCGTCTGCCACCAGTCACTTCGGGGGACCCCTTTTAAACTATTTCTCGCCTTCCTTTCCTACAACACATTTCGATTTCTAGGGTTTCAGGGACTTAATTGAAAAAAGAAAAAAAAAAAAAAGAGGGAAAACACCCATTAAGATTTTTGTTTCTATGGAAAGCTCTGTTTCTGCTTCAACATCGAATCAGCGAAGGTTTCGTTATTTCCGTTGTAATTGCTTTAGAAACTTTTGCCGTTGTTTCTGTTGCTGTTACACATACCCATAGGGCTGTAAGCTCTTCTCCAACCCCCTGAAAAAGTTTCCCCCAAACACTTCAAATTTTCTAAATTTCCCCTTTTGTTTAGGGTTTCAATGGATTTATCTCATGCTCAATCGGACCTGTCTCTGAGTTTTACTAAAAGTTCCGTTGCAGACGATTCGATTTCGCTTCAAATTGATACCAGCTTTCGCTGCTCGCCAAACCCGGTCCGGCCTGTCCCATTACAGTTCTTTGGGGAAAAAGACGACGGTGCCCCTCGGTTCGAGAACGGCGAGCAAAAAAACCACATCAAAGAAGATGAAGAAATTAGGATTTTAGGGCAACCTATGTGCGTGAAAAGACAAAGGGATGTTAAACCTGTTTCAAACCCTTGTAAACGTTTAGCTCCGGAGCCTGGTCTGGACCAAAGACGGGCTGCTGTCCGGTCATGGGGAAACCAACCGCTAGAACAGGCAGATCCAGAATTGAGTGAAATCATGAATAAGGAAAAGCGAAGGCAATTCCTAGGAATTGAGCTTATTGCTTCCGAAAACTTTGTGTGCCGAGCTGTGATGGAAGCTTTGGGAAGCCATCTAACGAACAAATACTCCGAAGGAATGCCTGGAGCGCGGTACTATACGGGCAATCATTTTATTGATCAAATCGAAACCCTTTGTCATGAGCGTGCATTGGCAGCCTTTAGTCTTGATTCCGAGAAATGGGGAGTCAATGTGCAGCCTTATTCATGTACTTCTGCGAATTTCGCTGTCTATACTGGACTTTTGTTGCCTGGTGATCGGATCATGGGGTTGGATTCGCCATCCGGAGGGCATATGAGTCATGGATGGTATATGCCGGGTGGGAAGAAAGTATCTGCTGCTTCTATATTCTTTGAGAGTTTTCCTTATAAGGTGAATACTCAAACAGGTTATATTGATTATGATAAGCTTGAGGAAAAGGCTCTTGATTATCGGCCCAAGATTCTTATTTGTGGTGGGAGTTCATATTCTAGGGAGTGGGATTATGCAAGGTTTAGGCTGATTGCGGATAGGTGTGGAGCGGTGTTGATGTGTGATATGGCTCATATTAGTGGTCTTGTGGCAGCTAAGGTTTGAAATTGTCTTGTTTTCATTAGTTATTGGTTTGATATTTTGATTCTGATATAAAGATTTTTGTGCTCTGAGTTGAGGTTTCTTGCAACTTATTTGGATAGTAATAGAACAGAGTTAAATCACTTGTGTAATCTATGAAAGTATTCACTTCTTTGATACCACTTATTTGCATTGCTGTTGGTAAATAATCAAGAAGTGTTACTGTTTGCCTGCCAAATCTGCATGCAATTCACACACCACAACCTTCAATCTCTTGCAACTGAACTCAACAGAACATACATGCTCACATTTACATTTAAGAAAGACAAAAAAAAAAAAAAAACTGTAACCTCTAGAGAGAAATTATTTAGTGGAAACCAAATCATGTTTCTATGTCCAAACAACATTTCTAACTTATGTATTATTGAAGTTGAGCCCAGATTAAACCTGTCTGTTAAGTTGTGTATGATAGACTGATTTATCATCTAATTATCATGAACTGTCTGACTTTGTAAGCCATAATGGATTATCTAAGTTTTTCTTATTTTACCTTCTCTGTCCCTAACAACTTTTGAGTTTATTAGACTTGTTAATATGTTGACTCAAGCACATCTGCTTTGAGTTTTTAGACATATATATGCCATGCACATAGACATCATCCCTGTCCTTGTTAGTCAGGGCATTGGGTGTTTCCTTCCTTTGGTCTTCTCCTTTTGGTTGGATGAGTCTACTTGTTCCAGAAAAAATGGGTGATTTTTGGGAGAATTTATATTTTGACTGTTATTGTGATAATACATCATATGATTTTGATAGTTAGTGTCTAGTTGGCTTTATGCTGAATAAGTCTAGGGGTGCTCTGCTCATTTGAATACTTAGCTGTTGCTACCTATTCCTTGATACTTATGAAATTCAAAGTTATTGACCATTGATTTTCTGCATGGTGTTTTCCTTTTCAACAGCGGTTCTCAAATCTAATGTGTTAGGCTATATGGGTGCAAAATAACAGGAAGGATTGTGTGAATTTCAGGCATGAAGTAGTAATATTGTGTGCTGAGTTTTTGGGTTGCACCTCCCACCACCACCCCCCGAGGCACCAACCCCAACCCCAACCCCAATCCCGTCTACCCCCCCCCCCCCCCCAAAAAAAAAGAAAAAAAAAATCGCTTCTATATGCATCAGCCCTTGAATGAAATATAATAGCTTTAACATGTAATGACTCTTCACATTGATGAAATCTTTCAGTATTTGCCTTTTCATGCAAGGCAATTGAGTTTTTTTTCCCTTACGAGCATCTTCACTCTTGTCCACTACAGGTATGTGCCAGTCCATTTGACTACTGTGATATTGTAACTTCAACAACTCACAAAAGTCTACGCGGTCCAAGAGGAGGTATAATCTTTTACAGGAGGGGTGCAAAATCAAGAAAGCAAGGCATGTGTCTCAGTAATGGTGATTGTAGTGGCCAGTATGATTTTGAGGAAAAGATAAACTTTGCTGTTTATGCGTCATTACAAGGGGGACCTCATAATAATCACATTGCCGCTCTTGCCATAGCCTTGAAGCAAGTGGCTACGCCAGAGTACAAAGCATATATGCAACAGGTGAAGAAAAATGCTCAGGCTTTAGCATCTGCTCTGCTGAGAAGAAAATGCAAGTTGGTTACTGGGGGCACTGACAATCATTTGTTGCTTTGGGATCTCACTACCCTAGGCTTAACAGGTTTCCTAATCTTTCTTGCTTAATATCATAACTTTGGTGTATTTACATGCTGAGGAAATATGTGCTAATATCTCGAATTTGTTTTTGGTTGGAATTAAGTTATTCATTATTGTGATTTCATTTGATTATGTTAACATTGCAGTTTTTTCCTTTGTGACCATTTTGCTAGTCAGCCTCTATTTATCAAAAACCCATGGTGAAGATCAGCTTGCAGTTTATTATAAAAAATTTTACCAGTCATTTTTTAGCCGGTCTTTTACCAGTCTTATTCAAGGCTTTTTTTTTTTTTTTTTTGCCATTATTCATGGCTATGTTTTAAAAGGGTAAAGCATATAACAAAGTGTTTTATTCCATGTAAAGAGTATGAATAAGTTAATTTTTATGAATAAAATCTAGAAATGCCAATCATTAACTGTAATAAAAGATTCTGAGTTGTGAAGATAGAAGTTGATAGTTCAGTTTAATAGCTGTCATTTTTCTTGAGAATCATAAGAGAAGTCAGCCAATTCCTTGTAGACCATATTTGCTACTAGTTTTTCTTCTGTCTACGTCTCACCAGCCCCATCTATTTGAAGAGCTAAAAAGATTGTTTCATATTTTTCCATATTTTTCAATAGGAATCTGGAGTTTAACCAGTTTGAATAATTCTAATAATGTATTACTATGACAAACAACCTATATATGTGCAATTTTTAGTATGCAGAGTGCACTTCTTACTTGTTAATACATATGCTTCCTTACACTCTTCCTTCTATAAATAACTCTTTCTTATTCTGTTTCCCAGGTAAATGCTATGAGAAAGTTTGTGAGATGTGCCACATCACTCTGAATAAAACTGCTATATTTGGTGATAATGGTGCTATTTCTCCTGGAGGAGTGAGAATTGGTAAGCAGTATTCTTTTTTATTTTTTTGGCCATTATTATTCTTGTTTTTTCAGTTGAAGAAATTTCTATTGCTTTTTAACAGCTTCATAAAAGGTTATAATATATAATGACTTATTTTTTGATAGGCAAGAACGTTTTCTAGGTTTATTTGCAGATTTTTTTTGTTTGAGAGTCATTGAAATGAGCCAATTGGTAAAATAATGTGCTGGACTGATATTAATCAGTTCTTTAAAGTGCATCAATATGTTCTATATACCCTAATAACATGTTTAGACGTGACTAATTCATGTGGTAGTTAGAGTGTTCACCAGCTAAGTAGCAATGCGTTTTATTGGGGCCAAAAACATTTTTCAGTCATATGATCATTAATCTTTCTTCTTATTGAGTGACTCCATTATTCATGTAGTTGTCTACTTAAAACATCAAAAATAGTGTAAGCAAAATCATAACAGGTTCCCAGTGTACTAAATATAGATTTTTTTACTTTATTTAATCTACTATATCATGAATTTAGTTCATTTATTGTGATTCCCTGACTATATTCTTTTATTTTGTTGTCACCAAAGAGCTAGCTTACAATTTGTCTTTTTCCATTAATGTCTTAATTTTCCTAATTTCTCTCAGGTACGCCTGCTATGACATCAAGAGGTTGTTTAGAGTCTGATTTTGAGACAATCGCTGACTTTCTCTATAGAGCTGCTCAGATTACAAGTGCAGTGCAGAGAGATCATGGAAAATTGCAGAAAGAGTTTATCAAGGGTCTTCACAATAATAAAGATATTGTTGATCTCCGGAATCATGTTGAGGCATTTGCCGCTCAGTTTGCAATGCCAGGATTTGATACTTGAAGATTTATAAAGATGGTCTGCATGCTGCTTGACATCATTTTCTTGCTTCTCTGGCACACCCTCACTCCTTGGTAATCCAATTATTTTTGCCATCCATGTTTTCGAACTCCTGTAAATTACAGAAAATAGGTCAACATTTCTGGATTTGTTTCAAAAATTTTACAGAAATCACTTCGCTGAACCAGCTGTCTTTAACTTACGTAATTTTGTAAAAAGTTATATAGAGTCATTTCTTTGAAAACAGTACAATAATATTTATGATGCAATCATATTTTATGAAGTTCTGTCAGGCTAGTTCCCATATTTGGTATTTTATTTTTGGTGAATGAGAGTCTGAGACCATAGTAAGGCAGTGAAAGTATATAGCTAGCTCCATATGGCAAGAACCTTAGCAACAAATGCTACTATATTTCTAATGTGGGTTGTCAAGTTATATGAAAGCCTACCGAATTAGTCGACAGAGCACTGCTAAGTTGCTGCTGTTTGTTCTGGATAATTGAAACAAGGCAAACAACCACTTTAACTATCATGTTGCTTTTGATGTTTGTTTTTATGATATTCCAGCATACCATGAAATTGTCTCTGCTTTTACTTGCAATAGCTCCTGTTGTTCATGTGATCTTATTTTTCTTGTTGTTAATGTCTAATTTTATTGTCCCGCGAGTTAAGAGAAAACAAAAGCTGTAAACTTTGAATCTGAAGTTTGATTTACTTAATTTGTAACTTTTCTTTTTCTTTTTTTTTAAACTGAGAACTTAAAAAAAAATAAAGTAAAATGAAGGACGTGATTTGGGGTGATAATGTGGGGCTTGGCATGTTGTTGAACGGGTAATGATCTTTGCTCGGTACGTAGCCCATTACCACAGTTTTGAAACATAGTTTTTCTGCAGCCGACTGCTGCCAGAACTTCGTGCAAGCATCGCTAGCTTTTTATTTATTCACTACTTTGATTTTTCTCTAACTTATGTTCCCCCCATTATTTTATATTTGTTTTTTTATTAAAAAAAATTATTCAGCCTCCTCTTATGGAACCCTCGAAGGGAGGCAAGGCATGAATTTCCGGCAGGGACAAAAAGCATGAGATACGGTTACAAGTGGGAAAGTGACCCCTCCCATTCTTTTCTTTAGTTCACAATTCCACAGACCTCCAAAGAAAGGGCAAGATAAAGAAAGAAATTTGGCAACAGAGTAAAATTTAACTTTGGAAAAAGAAATTGTGAGACAATGAGAAGAGACTTGTCAGGAAGAGGGGATGTGGTTAGAAGCTTTCATCATCGAACTCCATCGCTTTCAAAGTTGAAACCCGAATCAGACAAAAGCTTCCTCAGCGCAAAGAAGCTGCTGCTGCCTGCCTGCCTCCTGCTTTTGAAATTAAAGCCTACCTAGGAACCTCTCAGTCCTCCCCTCTCCCCCCTTTTCCATCTTTTTTCTCCCAAAATGATTAGTTATTTACTATAACAACTACATATATCATATACATACCACCGGATCAAGAGGGAAGCCCCTTTCAAAATAAAATAACAATACCTACTAAATATTTTAACTACTACCCAGGATTTGACTCTGATACTCTCCCCAATTAAAAAAAATAAAAAAAACACATAAGAAGTTTCTATGCTCCTGTTTTTTCCTTGTAGGGTAAAAACAACAGAGGAAATGGAGGCCGGTTTGCCTTGCATGAAAATTACTTCTAACCCTTCTTTTCTTGTATCCTTTTTTTTTTCATTGTTTATGTTTTTAAGAATGTGAAGCCCAGACATCCCCCACATCTCCTGCATATTTTTATCTCTGGATTTTGGGGAAAACAAACTACATCTCTACAGTAGAAACAATAAATGCGTGAAGAAAAAAATTTATAAGAAAAAAAAAGGAAAATTAGAAGGAAGAGAAGGGTTAAAAGGCACAACAACCCCAACAACTGATTCCTCCACCTAGTATTTGTTTTTTTTTTTTTTTAATCAACCATCCTACACTCTCTACCTATGACTGCAAAAGTCCAAAAGCTTCTTCCTCCCTTCAACAATCTCATCAAAGAAATCATCAAGTTGGCCAACAATATTCTCAGCACCAGATCTCAAGGCCGCAAAACACCCTTTCAAATTCTCAACTCTTTCCCTTATCCCCACCTCTGCTTCCCACTCCTGCACCCCTCCTTGTCCACACCTCCTCTCCAGTTCCCCTCTCAGCTCTTCCATCGCCAACTTTGATCTCCTAAACTCATAAAGCAATATCCCTGGCCTCCCATTGATCTGGTTGATCTCTGCTGCCACTCTTTGCTGCAATCTTGCTGTTGAGATCATGAAAGCTGATCCAAAGAACAGGCAACCTTCGTAACCTCCTCTTAGGAAACTTGATTCTGGCCAGCAATAAACCAGCCCGTACAGTAAGATCATTAAAAGCAATGAGCTGACATTCCTCATTGCATATAAAACTCCTCGGAAACCATTGAATCCATTAAGCTTTGATTCGATAGAAACCTTCTCGTCAAACCTTAATGAAAGTGGTTGGATTCTTGTTTCCATCAACGCCCTGTTCTCTTCTTCTAATCCCACAGCTTCTCTTCGGCACACTGAAATTGCCCGGATGACCTGCTTTCAACAGTTGGGGAAAATATCAGATCATGAATTCATAAGCAATTAAGAAAAGAAGGCCTCAACTTGGATATTAAAGTTGTAAGCTCTGGGAATTAAATGACCTGTCTGGAAAGCTGAGGACTAAGATGGCGATGATTATCTAGAGAAGAAGTGATATTAAATCCAGCAGAGTAATAATTTTCCATGCCGGAGATGCCTGATTTAAGGACATGACAAGCTTCCCAAAGTTTGGAACTTTCATCCATGTATTCATCAAGCCACTTATCACCCACAGGAAGATGGAGTTTTTGGACGAGGAGGAGTAGCTGGGAATGGAAGGATCGGAGAAGGGAAAGAACCCTTTGAAGGAATTGGATTGACATGAAATTATTAGAGAGATAGACACGTTCAAGATCATCTATGCCACGAGTAAGGAAGGTGTAGAATCCATTAACAGAGCTTGTAGAAGATGGATCCATTGCTTAAAAAAGAAGGGGGTTGTGTTTTAAGAGTTGAAGGGGAGGAGAAAAGGTTATCAGGAGAACTGGAGAAGGGATATTTAAATGGAGAAGCAAGAGGCATAAGGGAATAGGAAGGAGGATGAAAAGAGATAGAAGGGAAGGGAAAGAATATCTTAGAAGCTCAGGTTTCTAAGGTTGAAAAAGATTGTTGGGAGCAATGATGGTGTTTCCTACAGAGGGGAAAGGATGATTGGTAATATGCCATTTTCATTGTTTAATTGGCAGAAAGGAAGAGAAAAGGAAAAATAAATTTATTAAAAATAAAATTTTACGCTTTGAGAAATATGTAAAAGAGAAAGGAATAAAATTACCAAAAAGGAAAAGAGAAGAATTACATAAAACAGGTAAAAAATAAAAAAAAAAAGAGGCTAGGGCTAATGCCCCCTTAGCCCTCCCCCCTTCCCTCTGCCCCTTAAAGACACGAATTTTCCATGAACTACCTTCCAGTTTCTTCCTTTTTTCAGCCTGTTTCCTCCCCCGTAATCTCCAGCTCCATATAGTTTATATATTTTATATTCAAAAAGAGAGAGAAATAGGCAAAGTGGGTATTTTGCAATTTGAATAATAAAGTTTGGCATCGTTCTGGACAGTTTGCGTTTATTGGGTTATAAAAAGTTTGACTGATTGACTCAGATTTTCTTGCAATCTCTAATTCTCTGAGTTACTTTCTTCCCATTTTAGAATTCAGATGTTTGAATTGAGTGTTCCCTTTGGTTGCTTCCCATTTTTATTTCCCCTTTTTCTTCCTCGAGCAACTGACTTCGGTCCTTCACTTCACCCTCCATTCTATTGAAATTTGTGGGTTTTATTTTTCCCATATATTTTTTTCTTTGATTTTTCAAAAGAATGGGGAAATTGAAATGATGAGGTTCCTTGTATTTGTGTCTAATTGTCTAACTTTCTACTAAGCAAAACCAGTCTTTTTAGGCCGATACTAATTTTATTCTCACCACTTTTTCTTTTCGGACAAAATGGATGATTTTTTTTCCTTTTTTCTCTTTTTCTTTTTTTCAATTCTATGAATATATATATCGTCAAATTCATGACTTAATCAACACCGTTGCTTTCAGCAGCTTTAGAACAATTAGGACCCATCAAACGGCGGATCCTAAATAAAAAGATATTGTCCATTTGTTTACTTTGATTATTTGGTTTAATACACAATGTTTGACCAAACAAATTGCTAATCAATAATTCTTCCTGTTTCTCAATTAATCAAAAGCAGTGGAAACTTTTAATTCAAAGTTTATTCACTTTTAAAAAATAATATTTAATAAATTTAATATTTAAAATCTCTCTGTTTGTAAAAGAAAAACAATAATAAAATGTAAAAGGGGTGATTTTTTTTTCCCTTTAAGAAGCAAATTAGAGTAATAAGAAAAGGTTTTAATTTTCTTGATGAGATGAATGTTCTTTTTATCTTACAAGCAGGGGGACCAGAAATCTTACTTATATGGGATTATGTCTCACAAAATAAACAGTAAAAAATAGGGGAAGAGTAGGGGTGCTCGTGGGTTTTTGGGGAATGGGACATGTTGAAGAGGATGTTGGTCATTTGAGATTATCATTGGAAAGTGAAGAAGAGGAAGAAGCCAAGGGAACTAAGGGCATTGGTTCAACCGTCCTTCCCTTACTCATCTTTCATCGAGGACTAGGAATAGGACTAGGACCAGGACTAGGACCACACCCTTCAAGTATGGAGTATATATAAAAAAATAAGATTGTTTTCTTTTTTTTTTTTTAGTAGTTTAAGAAATGACAGAGGTTCTCTAATATAAAGTTTCTTATTGAAGAGATAATTGTTAATAAGATGATTTCATCTTTCATTTTGTTTTTTTTTTAAATGATGCTCATTCATGAAGGGCTATTCTTGTTGCTTGGTTGTTAGCAATAATTAAGCTTGAATTAGTTGATAAGTAATTTATGACTTATTTTTTACTCTTCAACTTAAGACTCCTTTCATTTTTATTTTTTTTTGTGAATTAAAAAAGTTATAGATATTCCTATTATTAAAAAATATTTAATGTTTTAATATGATATATAATATAAAAAAAAAACATAAGTCAACATTTCTTAATCTCCATAATGTAGACATGAAATTAAGAAGAATGGAATATTATTATTCACAAGTGACTGAATTAATATTTGTCATTGTTTTTTATGTCTAAGTGGATAAGCATCTGCATAAATGCAAATATAATTCAATCTTACAAGTAGAAACTTTTCCACATGTGAATACCATTAAACTCTATTTGGATCCCATCTCAAAATTATGATCAAACTTCCCAAATTTGCCAACAAAACAAGGCATCTTTTGAGAATCCAAAAACTTGCTGAGGAAATTAGGGCAGCTCTGGATTTAGGATCTGGTGGGTGAGAAGTTGCATGCTCTTCTTTAGTAAAAGAAAGGATTTTCTAATTATAACAATAATACACTAAGTCTTATATCTTATATTTTGAGATAATTGTATTAAAAATCAAATAAAAAAATTAAATTAGATTATAATTTGAATCTTTTTATGCCACTTATTTTTTTTTATCAATAATCACCTTTTTATCTAATCTCTTAATTATTTTATTGTTTTATTTTGATATTTTATTTTGGTTTAATTATATTTTATACTGATTATCAACTTATCGTAACTTTTTTTTTTATTCGAATTTGAGATTGACAATGTATCAATATATAGACAAAGTTAAAACAAAAAACTTTCCAATAAAAAATTTGAATAAAATCAAGGGTGGCAAGAAAACATCTAACAGAGTTTTAAACTTCATAATCAAATTTATAAAATTAATGTAAATTTCATTGTCGGGTATCCAATAATAATGCTTAAAACTAAAGCATATATGCAGAATTATAAAGTCTAAATTTTCATATATAGGGGTCCATAGATGGTACTAAAACTAAAGGCATAACACGGTTGGATTAGTCAAACCACATCCCTATCTTAACATGAAGAAACTACCCTAGCAATCCCATATATAGGGGAATGTTTCATTTTCTTCTTAATTATCTTAGATGGGTACAACTGGATGGTCCAGAGCCTCTGAAAGAATGAAAATAATATAAGTAATAATTGTTTGGGTATGTAAATTCAAAAGGGAGGACTGGAAACTGGAGAGTGGAAATGAAAGGGTATTAGAAAATAATAGAGAAAAAAAAAAGGAAATATCTTCAATCAATCAGTCGAGGAACTGAAGCAAAGATATATGGCTAGTCTAGTGTTGGCAAGTTGCTTATCAGGTTAGTTCAAACTCAATTAAATTTGGGTTTTTCCCAGGGGACCACTCAACATTTTCTTTTCAAACTTCAATATTGATATGTTCTTTTATTAAGATAAGAAAAAAAAAGAAAAGGAAAAGATGGTTTTTTTTTTTTCTCTCTCAAATTAAAAACCTTGCTTTGGTTTCAGGACAAAGTACTGATTTTTCCCAACCTGACCGTGAATAAATGTTACATCTGGCTGTGGGGAACCCACCTCACTTCACTGTTATGCTTTAGGGATTGATATGAAGTGAATGTGACTACAATTTTGATCTGGTCCAGCTTCACAACTTTGGAGTTAGCATTAGCCTTTTTTTTTTTTATAAATGTAAAATGGTTATAATGTTAAATGTATTTTTTTTAGTAAAAATCACATGTGGTAAGTGTATTTTTTTTTTGTACAAATAAGAAAGAAAGGCATCAAGATATTCCTTACTCTTTTTGATATAATAATTATTTGAAGTGAATGAATGCATATCAATTATTTAAATTTATTAAAATTTTTATCATCAATGTATAAGATAATGATTTTTAAATAGTAAATCATTTCAACAATGAGATATTAAATTCAAATTTATTATTAATATTGAAAATTAAAAAACACTCATGTGAAAATAATAGATCATTTTCCTCTTCTTTCTCTCATTTTTAGAAGAAAAATAAAAGGTCAAAATTAGAAAAGAAAAGGCTTTCACAACTTTCATTATTCTACATGCATAGTACAACAAGCAAGGATTTGATAAACTCTACTCTCAAGACATATGACAATAAATTGAGCAACAACTCATACTGTACTGAATGATAAACCAATCTCTTTCTCTGCAAACTCTGAACTACACTGTGGCCATCCCTTTTGATTACTATTACCGCACTGCAAATAGGGAAAAAAATGTATTTCATCCAATTGGCATTTCAACATCAATAATAATTTGTGAGTAATTTTTTTTTTATTTTGAGGATAGATAAATTTTTTAATATTTCGAATCAAAATAAAATATATCATATTTAATAATTTAAAATAAATAATTATAAATTTTATATTTAAAATGATTTTAATAAATAATCACTAATAAAATTTAAATTTAAAAATTTTTCATAAAAAAAATTATTCTTACCCAATTAAATATTGATATTTCTTTTTTCTATTTTAAATGTGCATAACTTTAATTGTTTTCCTAGAGCAACCTAAATAATGGAACTCTCTAGTCACATCAATGAAAAAATACATCATAAATAAATCATTTCTAAAATTAATAAAAGCTACATGTACGTAAAAATAAGACAAAAATGGACATTTAAAAGGGAAATGAGTTACATTGTTCATTTATTGTATTTTGAAAAATGAAAAAAAATATTTAATACATTATTGGTGGGATTTTTAAATTTTATTAGCTAAGTTAGAAGATCGACATATGTAATTTTTAAGATATATTTAAAAATTTAATAGATTAATACAATGGAGAAAACAAATATTAATTTTTTAATTTTATTTGTGAAATTTATAAAGAGATAATATCTTATATAATTCTTAAATTATTAAAAAATATTTAATATAATATTTGAAATAAAAAAAATTCAATAAAGCACATCAACTTTTAATCATGCATTAATCTATCCATAACCTAACTTTTTTAATAAAAATCAGTAACATAACAACCAATCGACGAAAGTTTAACACGTATATAAATATTATATATGTGAATGACATGTAATATTGATGTAGTTGTCACGTAACGTAAAATTAAAAGTTTTATTAAAAAATTAATATTTTGAAAAATTAAAAAAATTAAAAATTAAAAAATTCATATTAAAATATCTTATTAATGCAAAGGGCAATGAGTTGGAACTTGAAAGGACAGCATTGTCCTTATTCAGAGAAAGAAAGTGCATCAAATTATCAGAAACAGTACCCTGTTTGGTAAAAGAAAAAAAAAAAAAAGAAAAGTGAAGTAAAGCTAGGTAAAAGTGTTAGTACCTAAAACAATATTAGGACAGGTGTCAATCCAAAAACAACACAACTAGATTTATAATCATATGCTCAACCTTCTAAAGTGGGAGTTTTCTTTTCCTTTGGGCCACCCCGTTCTGAACTTTTTACAATCAAAATTTCAAATGCTAGTCTCAGATTTGGGGAACAATTAAAAAAGGTAATTAGATTAAACCCCCCAAAAATAAAAGAAAAAAAAATACTAATACTAAATGCAAAAAGAAAACATTGTTTCTGCAACCAATCATACCGAAGAGTGGACTTTGAATAAACATCATGGAAATATCAGTGGGCCCTCTGTTCAATGTTTTGGTTCGGTCATTAGGCCAGCGATTTTCTGTCCTCTTGGAAATTTTCTTAATCATTATTATTCCTTTTCATGATTTGGTATACTGCCATGTAATAATCTGTGGGTAGTCAGAATTTTTTTTTAAAGTTTTAAAGTTTTAGAATTAATTTTTTGCAATAAATAAATTGTAAATAGTTAAATATTTTATTATTTTTCTAAAATAGATATTTAGCATTAGGTTTATTATTTACTTGTACATAGCAAATAATTTGAACATAAAATCTTCATTTTCTGTGGTTGTAGCCAAAAAAAAAAAAGGAAAAAAAAAATCCATAGAGCATGTGCCGTGCAAGTGTGGACTACTTTTTTCTAGAAGAAAATGGGCCACAAGTACATTGATTATATGGAACTGACCGAAGAGCAGGGAGTTTCAATGTGGGTTTTCATGCCAATGCTTGAGTGGGGTAG